ATCAGAACTGTTTGTTCATTATCTTGACTCTCCTTGTAGAAAGTGAACTCCACTTCGGCAGCAATTTTTATCTGTTTTATTCACTAATGTATTCCCAGGACTAAACAGTGCCTGGCATTCAATAGACCAATAAAGCAACAAGGAACAAATAACTGAGTGTAAGAACAACGGAAATTCATTTTATTTCCTTTTTTTCAACCACAAATAATGCTGAAGTAAGATTCCCTATACACATATGCTTCTGTATTGGTCTTTTTATTTTTATACTAGAGGGCCGGTGCATGAAATTCATGCACGGGAGGGTGGTGGTCCCTTAGCCTGGCCTGCACCCTCTCGCAATCCAGGACCCCTTGGGGGATGTCCGACTGCCGGTTTAGGCCAGAAACCGGCAGTTGGACATCCCTCTCATATTCCAGGACCACTGGCTCCTAACCGCTCACCTGCCTGCCTGCCTGATTGCCTCTAACTACTCACCTGCCTGCCCAATCACCCCTAACTACCTCTGCCTCGGACCCCGCTGCCATGGCTTCATCTGGAAAAACATCCGGAATGATGTCTGGAAGGTCGTTCCACTGTCTGGTCTAATTAGCATGTTACGCTTTTATTATTGTAGACTAGAGGCACGGTGCACAAAATTTATGCATGGGGGGGTTTCCTTAGCACAGCCTGCACCCTTTCCAATCAGCAGGTGATTGCCCTTAACCACCTCTGCCTGCCTGCCTGATCACCCCTAATTGCCCTCCCCTGCTGGCCTGATTGCCCCCAACTACCCTCCCCTGCTGGCCTGGTTGCCCCCAACGGCCCTTCCCTGCCAGCCTGATTGCCCCTAACTGCCTCTGCCTCTGTCCCCACCACCATGGCTTTGTCCGGAAGGAAGTCGTACATCTGGAAGATGGCTGGTCAACCTGGTATAATTAGCATATTACTCTTTTATTAGTATAGATATATTATATAGGATAGGATTGCTTAAGGGGGGGTAAACATTTTTCAGCAGGAGGAGATGCTCTTGACAGACAAAAATACATAATCCCTATATCTGGACTGATAGCCAGCCATATGCACTATACTGCCAAAGCGGTCATTAAAAAATTGAACCGCTTTCTTACACCAAACAGCTGTTGCCCATAAAACCCCTCCTCAGCCCCCACCTTAGGTTCTGCCTTTTCAGTTCACCCAGATTAGGTTATGATTGGTCAGTTTCTATGCCAGTCAGCATCAAAAGCTCTACCTCCTTGGCAGCCACTGACTCTTTGCAGTTCACCCAGATTTGGTTCTGATTGGTCATTTTCTATGCCAGTCAGCATCTCCGGGCCTATCTCCGGGACTGATCCACAGCTGCCACCGCAGCGAAGTGGTCATTAGGCCTCCGGCCTGGGCCTGGGCCAGAGGCTAACTACCTCGCTGCGCCTGCCTCGCCCCACCCATCCCCTGCCACCCCACCCGCCCGCCGGCCACCAGCTTTGCTGTGATAGGAGCCTGTGGACCATGGGGGAGGGACCGAGAGGTGCTCCATGCACTTCCTGGTGACCAGTTGTCTGTCAGGTTGTTTAGGTTGTGACGGCCCCCGGCCCTTTATAAAGTAGATGGTCAGAACATTTTCCAAACCATGAACATTTCCCATAACCATGTTTCAGTATTCTTCCCCTGCTTCTTCACTCTTTCTCTCAGCCTTCTATAGGTTGTTATTGAAAATATTTTTCCATCTCTTTATTATTTAATTTGCATTTCTCTGATGACTTGTGAACTTGAGCATCACTGAATATATTTGTTGATTATATTAATGTTATCATCTGTGAATTGGTTATGCAAATGTTTTCTAGTAGTTAAAATTTTCATTTATAATAAGTTTGTAAAAGTTAGGTGTAGATTAGATATAGATATAGATATAGATATAGATATAGATATAGATATAGATATCATAGATATAATCTTACTTGTAATCTGTAAGGAAAATTTTTCTAACCTATTATGTGCCTATTGATTTTATTTATGAAAATTTTAGACCACAGTTAAAATTTCACATAATGAAATATGTACATCTTTTCTTTTGTAGCTTCTGAAATTTTGGAAGTTAGATCCTGTCTTTAAATTGCACATTGCTTACCCTCTGTTTTCATGCAAGAATTTTATTTTTATTATTTGTTACATTTAAGTTCTTAATCAATCTGGACTATATTTCTGTATATGAAATATACAGAAGAAAAATGGGTTTAATTTCATTTATTTCCAGGTGAATAACCAGATATACCAGCACCATATTAAATAATACATCTTTTTAATTGGATTAACTTTTGTTATATATTAAATCCTCCTAATTACTGACCTCAGTGTCTTGATTCTCTTTTCTGTTCTTTTAACATATAATCTGGTGTGTATTAACTTCATGTTTTTAAAGAAAAAAATAATTTGGTAAAATGAAGAGGAAATATAACCTGGCAGGTCGAGAGAAATAAACATATTTAATTTGAAGATGAATTAGGGAACTTTAAAATAAGAATGCGTACACATGTGTAACTGAACATCATGTCATTGTCAATCTGCCTGAAATATAAAAACAATAAAACTATTGTTCTCGTCTCACTAGTCATAAAATGTCTGGGCCAACCTCATATATTTTTTCTATGAAAAGTTATTTTAATTCATATAATCTTGCTCTTTTTCATTGTGCTTATGCCTCCATCCTTTTGAGTAATATTTTATTTGTTAGGTTTCTCCAGAAAAGTAGAACTAATAGAATATATAGAAATATAGAAATATCTATATATATATAAAAGAGTAATATGCAAATTGACCAAACAGCAGAACAACCAGAATGACTACATGACCAGTCGCTATGAGGTGCACTGACCACCTCTTGGTCCCTCCCCCCACCCCCCACCCCTGGCTGGTAGACTCCAATTGCCCAATGGCAAACAGGGAACTGGGGGGAGGGGGGTTGGCAGCGGGGGGGGGGGGCGGGGCCAGCTGCTGGCAGCAGGGGAAGATGGCCCTGATCACAGGCCAGGCCTAGGGACCACACCCGTGCACAAATTTCATGTGCCGGGCCTCTAGTATTTATTATAAGTAAATGGATCATATGATTATGATGCTGGTAAGCCTTAACTGTCCAGTGTGGGCCAGCAGGCTGGAGCCCCAGGAG